ACCTGGTTTTTCAAAATGGGTGACTGTAAAAACAAATGTATATAAACACCACAAAAATCCCCCATCCCCGGGGGGTGGGGGGGAAATTGGGGAGTTGAAAGTCCACGACTCTTAAAGTGGCCAAGTTTGGACAACACTGAGTTAAGCTAAGGGTAAAATATTGGAAGATAATTAATGCTGAGCTCAGGTGTGAAGTCTCATACACCGTATACTTTATTTTTATTTTATCTTTTATTTTTAGGGTAGTATACAATGAAGTTATACAGACTTCAAAGTATTACATGCGAGATGTTACAGCTATTGAATCTGCTTGGTTATTGGAACTGGCCCCTCACTTCTATCAGCAAGGAACGGTACAGGCTCGGCATAGACTCCAAACGGTACCATTGCTGTATTGTCAGCTCTTGTTATTTTATATCTTCTTGTGTTTTGTATTATGTTTTAATAGTGTTTATTGGGCCATAATATACTTAAAGATTTAAATTTGTTTGCTTTGCTTTTTATATGATGATGGGTGAACTTGTTCCATTTTTCTTTGACTTAGAGAGCTTTGTTTACTGTAAATTATTGGAAAAATACAACTTTCTACTCCTAAGGAAACCATGTTTAAAGCAACATGTTTGAAATAGAATTTTTTGGGTAATTCTGTAGAATATTATTATGAGTACTAATATTCATGGCTTTGTTGAATAATTATAATACAGGCTAATATTTCTAGAATAATTGGTAACACTCTTTTCAGTGAGATTGGCATAGACACAATAGTTTAGAACCCAAGAACAGGCATGAAATAGTGTGTTCCTTCTCAGGAGAATTAGCACCCTGCAACATCAACCATAGTTTATTTTACAAAGTTGATTGTTGTGTTTATATCCTGCCTCTCTTTCACCTGTCAGAATGATTCTGTCCTGCTCCCATTTTATTTTGCTTGGTAAATTCAGCTGAAAGTTTATAATTGCTTCTTGATGAATTAGTGGAACTAACCCATCCTATCTCTGTGTTCTGATCAGTGCACCGTATCAGCTACCAGTACGCAGAATGCAAACTGAAATGTTGTGATCATGTTTGCACATGCACAAAATGGTGGTTGGTTTCTGCACATGTGTAACATGGTGACCGCTGTACCAGTATACAGTATATGCAAACATGGTGGCCACCCTATGCAAAGGTGACTTGCATAAGGAGACCAGGAACTAGGTGGTATAATTCCTAGTGATTGCCTGTAATTGTTCAAAGCTGAAAATGTGTTTTCCTTCACCAAGAATCTAGCTAGTTTTAACTATTCTTGTTCCACAAAATGGCTTAAAAAAAGGCTAATGGGGGAGAGAATAGGATTTCACATACCATTCTTGGAATTTTAACCCTGTGAATTGGAGTTTGAGCCAATTTCATCTGGTTAGTGATATTCAGCAAGTGATGTATTCCTTCAGCTCTAGGCCATTCCCCTCTCATTTGCAAGAATGGGATAATAATGCTGACATAACTTAAGAGATTTGTTCTCATAATTATGTGGCATATTTAGAAAATGTGCTCTATGAAATGCTAAATATCACGCAGTAGAAACATGTCTGTGTCTATAGTACATCACAAGGCAACATTTTGCTGTGATTAAATCTTCTGGAGGTTGCTAATTCTAGTCTTATCAAAATGTGTAGGCATATAGTAAGTTTGTACAGTAGTTTCAAGTTATTGACTGGGAGTACTATTCCTATAATTTTTGAGGAAAGCTAGTTACAAAATAATAGATATCAACTATTTTAGCAAAATGGAACACAGTGTTAAAAATGTGAATATTTCAGTTTCTGGTAACAAGCCTAGATGTACCATTAGCAAGAAAGCAAGATGTATAATAGTTTTCTATTAACTGAAAGGGCACGCCTGGAGTTTTAGGTAAATACTTAACACTGCATCTCTGCATTGCTAGCCATTTATATCTGAGCTCATGCACAAACTGGTAGAAAGTGGTATAGTAATCTTTATAGTGTTGTGTAATATTTAGATCCAAAGTGGGCATTCTCTCTACTTGCTGCTCCTTTGGAAAATGATTTTTTTATTATTATTACCATCACATTTGCGAAGGTCGCTAAGCAAGCTAGTTGCTAAACAAGGAGTGGCTGTATTTCTAAAAAGTCAACAACAAATAAAAAACATTATTTTTGAAATGCTCTTAATTACAATTAAGTCATTTCAGCAAGCAGTAGGAACTAGCAGGTCTTCCTTGGAAGACAGAGGGACCATTGTTAAGAAATGCTGTTCTATGAATAAGTCACTTTGATTTTTAAATGTAAAGAGAGATGACGCAGTTTAGTATCAAGGAGTGTGGCATATATTTTCTTTAGAAGACAAATAGAACAGGAGGAAAAAGAAAACAACTACAGTTGGCCCTTTGAATTAATCTGAGCCACCATCTGTCATATCAGGCAAGCAATGGGTATGGTAAGGAGCTCTTCTTGCAATGAGTATATTACTCCATCCGATTAATAGTGGAAGACATTATTATAATAGAAAGGAATCACAAAAGTCTGCAACTTTGCAAGGTGTGTTTTCCTCATTTTATTATTTTTTAAGTGCCAGGCACCAACATTTTTACAACTTCAAAACAGTAATGATCTGTATTGGCAAATGTTTGCATGCTTTTATGCTTTTGGCAGTATGGCAAAATGGAGTTTAGTAGAGCTTTAAAAGCAATATTGAAAGTGTTACTAGTAGGCTGATAGTTCTGATCAACTCTTTGATGAAGTGTTGATTCTTTAGAGCATTTATGAAACTATACATTAAAAAAATATACTTTTTTTCATTGCAGCACCTTTCCCTGAAAGCCAAAAGAGCTAAAGTAGATGACCACTGACTCTCTCTGGCTGTTGAAGTTCGCCATGTGTGATGCTGAAATTGTCGCCAATTTGAAGTTGTACAACTGTCCTTCCAACAATTAGTTGATTAGCAACCTGACCCCATATCAACTATACATGTTGAAATGCCTGCTTGCCAGGATTCTGTAGGGATGTATGCATGACCAATACATTGTAACACTTAAATAGAGCTTGTATTGTGGACATCTTATCCAGCAGTCTAGTTGTGATGACCACTCCTGTTCACCAGGGCATTATGCTCATTTTAAACAAAATAGAAAAAATTATCAGTGCAAAAGAAAAGATACACAATTCAAGGAAATTTGCAATACATGAATAACTATATTGTTCTCTTGAAGCAGAAAGGGGTGGAGGCAGATTCAGTGCCCTCAGAGAGTTGCTCAGGATCCTTCAGACCACTGTGAGAAACTTGATCATCCTGGACCCACCTGCTTATTGTAGGCAGATTTGGGAACACAAGCAAAGCCTTGACGTACCTTAATGGGTGGAAATGAAAACCTTGAAACTGTGATTGTGCCTAACTGCTGTGATTTTCCCCCCCTTACTTTTTTTCCTGTAAAGCAATAGATTTCTAATCTTTTATCAGTTTCTATATTTGTTCTTTCTTGCATTTTCTCTCTTACAATGGTCATGCTTTTCAAATTAGCCTGTTTTACAACCATCATGTCAACATTTTCACTAAATTGAGCTCCTTGAGAAAGGACTTCAATGTGGGTATATTGTTTGTTGTTCCCTTTTGCTTTAAATTAAGAAATAAGGAGCTTGGGGCCAATCTCATGAATAAGTATTTGTACGTTCTCAACTTTTTGATATAGCATTGAACAAAAATCTGTGGTTCTTTGGCCTTTGGTTTATATTCTATGCCAGTCTGTTAAAATTCAGATAGTGGTGATTATAGCAATGGGGATAGAGTGTCCAACTTTAAGATAGAGTCAGAGGGACCACCTCCGGAGGACATTCTCTTTTTTTCCCAACTGAGGCTCAGTAGAATGTAAGAATTCCTTGGAGTGAGACAGGACTCTGCAGAACTGCTAGTGCTCTACCTAGGTTTCTGTTGCATGCTCCTTGTACAGTAAATAAGTTTGGGTGAAATTACTGTAGCATGGGGGGAAAATGATGCTCTGTGGAAACAGCAAATGAGGACAAATTCAAGAAATTAAATCAGCACTGGCCCCATTTTACAAAAAGTTCCTATTAATTCGAAATCCATCTGACAGTATTATTTTTAGCCAAATCTAACAAATGACAAAGTTTGCTTCCATTAATCTTTTTTTTTTTTAAAAAAAAAAACAACCTTTGATGTATATATTTTTCACCTTGCAGTTGTGCTAGGACTGTCTTCCTCAGAGATGAAGGATGGTCTGTATAGACTACACTGCTTAAGCTAAGCTGTGCATTGGCTGTTTTTCTTTTGTAATTTCCTTCTTTGCCTCAGTAGGTTGGTTTTGATATATTTATTAATTTTCAAATATTTATTTTGGATATATGGATTTTGGATATATGGATTTCTTTCTAGAACATGGGTTGGTTGTATGACTTGTTCTCTTCTTTCTCCTTCCTCTTATAAAATATACGTAAATTGTGGCATTATTTTTACACAGAATATGGGTGTGCATCCTGAGTCACTTTTTCAAATTCCTCTTCCCATTCTGCTTTTCACGAATCTGCAGAGAAGCTTGATCCATCAATGTGTGATCCACACCGTGTCTTTGTGTTGTATGTGCAGTTTAACAAAATTTAATTCCAATCTTTGGATTATTGGTTTCTCTCCCTCGCCCCCTGTATGTGAATTCCATAGGCTTGAGGTTATCTTTTATTTTCTGTGTACTATGTAATGTCCAGAACGGTGTTGATGCTCCATAATGAGCCTCTTAAAAAGCTCTTTTCCTTTAAAGGAGTCTGCAAAGTCCTGGGTGCAAAGTGTATAAATTTCCATGTTGCTTTGTCTTCTTGTAACAGTTCAGAAAATACAAAATAAAGTTGTCTTCCATAATCCTGGGAATGTTGTGCCTATTTATAAAAGGTAATTATAAGTATCATTTTATATTTTCTATCCATCTGGTTTTGGTAAAAATAGAGGAGTGGTTTACCATTGCCTTCTCCCCTATGGAATGAATGGATGCCTTTGCTATTGTCTCTAATGTGATCATTCACCTCCAGCATCTTCCTGCATCACTGCTGCTCAATATCGGTGCCTGCATGCTTTAGTTAGGCATCTGGGATGACCTTCACACCTTGGGTGACCCTTCTGGGAATATCTATGCTTTGCACACACTCCAAATATTCTTTGCTCATCCCTCCCAGGAACACTCACCCCTGCCATGATGAGGCAGCGTAGCAGGACTTGTGGGGGGCAGGCGGTGGCTGAGTATCACCATTAGAAGACCTGAAGGATGAGGTTAGGGTCAGATCATCATGGAGAAAGTCTATGTGGTCACTAAGAACTGATGACGACTTGATGGCACATAATTATTTATAAGTATTGAGTCTATATTCTAATGTTAGTTTCTGGAGAGCTAGTTAAATGTAAATGTAAATAATGAATTTGGTATTGGCCACCATGATACTAGATGAATATTGATGTAGACTTATGTAGTCTGCACCTTAAAATTCTGTCAAGAAAAATGGGAATCTCTGCCGTGTTTATGCCGTGTTTATGTGTTACTATTTGTGATCCAGAGAAAAGGCACAGTTGCTTTAAGGGGTTGCAGATAAATGGCACATTTCCACCCCCACATGCTCTGAAGCACATTCAATCTGAAGTGCTGTGCAGACTCTCTCTCTCCTCTCTTCTCTCTCTCCTTTTATCCTTTCATTGTACAGTATTTGTTACACACACACGCCATCCCATATATTGAGTTTTTATTAGGTTACCAATAAAAATGAAACAAAATAATTCTTATTAGGGGAAAATGATCATCCGAGTGACAAGATAGAGAAGGCGTCAGAGCGTGGCTTTTGGAATTCTTTTCAACCCGTTTACCAGCAATGATCATGGGAGGTGACTCTTTTTTCCTGCATGACTAAGCAACGTATTAAGTCTGCCTGCAAATACATTTCTGCTTCTACTTTCACCTTACATTGTGTTTCTGTGTTTTGTGTGCACGTGTGCGCTAGGAGGCACAGGGCTGGTTGCGTGTGCTCCACTCTGGTCACATGATGAGGGACAAAGGCTTAAAACACGAAGGCTTCAAATGGAGCAGCTGGAAACATTCTGAGCTGCTACCCAAACTGCCTCTCCCATTGGGGTGCAGTGGGGAAATTCTTCCTGAAATGTTTTTCTCTGCAGCCCTCAGCCTGATCCAGACCATTTTTTTACCTCAATCTTCCTTTTGCTGGCTTCTCCCCCAATACACCGAACTTGGCCTCATTCTGTTCTATTTCCAGAAAGCCACCCTGCTGATGGAGTGTTCTCAGTGTACCTCACATAATTTCTTTCCCACCTTCTGTTGTGTTGGAAAGAATAAAAACAGTTCAGTAGCCAAAGACAGAACCAGCTAGAGGACATAAGACCTGTGATTTACTCAGTTCTAAGCTTGGCTTATCTAAGAGGTCATTTCAAATTATGCCCATCAAAATATGTGAATTTTTGCTTATTTTGCATAATTCTAATAGTGAACATAGATGGGTAACGAAACGTCTGCAAGAAAACAACCATGCTCAGAGAACCCCAAGGACTCCACAGTGTACATGGGGAAAGGAATAAATCATGGATTGTTCAAACATTGTTAAGCATTTATTTACTTTATTAAGAACATTTATATTCTGTCAATGCTGAGTATCAGCATCAGGGTTAGTTTTTTTTTTTTCTTTAAGAAATATAATCATTTTTAAAAACCTTAGATATTAAGAAAGTTGAGTGCTGTGATCAGTTGTCAAGGGACCACACCCACACCTAAATGGCATACTGTATTTTTTTTGTCAGGCAGAAGGCTCTGTGGAAACACCAAGGGATAATGTCTAAAAAAATAATCTTCAATATTTGGAAGGGCTACTTTTTCACATCTTCCCTTCACCAACACGTTTAAATATTCTGGGGGTGGGGTGGGGACTTGTTGACCCCTTCAGAAACAGATTAAAGGAGAAATTTTGTTGCAGAAACAGTCAACTTCGTAGCTTATAAACTGCATTGTGGGAAGAAACAATTTAGGTCCCACCTTTCATTCAGGGGCTTAAGCTAGTGTACATAGCATTCCCTCCTCACACTTTTCTCCAAAACCCTGGAGAATAACACTGCAAAGTAAATTGGATTAGAGAGAATGACTGGCCCAAACTCATCAGGTGGGCTTCCTGGGTCTCCCTAGTGCCAGTCCAACACCTTAATTAATCTGCCAGTTAGTGTCATGTTATCTTTTACGAGCAAAATAAAAATGTATTACCTGATCTCTCGCAGCTCTTGAATGGGTCCTAATCCGCAGTGTGTTCATCATGCTGTTGTGAATGATGATCTCAGGATTAAATCTGAACTCTCAAGAATTGAACAGCTGGCTTTGATTCTTGGGAAAATGGAGTAGTTCAACCCTGTGGGACATGTTCAGACATCTAGAGGCTTCAACCTTGACTAATGTTTGGTGATGTCCATGTTGATGCAGGACCTGTGTGTGGCACATTGTAGAGTTTTTTATTTTGTTTTGTTTTTCCTTCCCCAGGCCAGTCTAGGCTATTTTGGGAAATGGGAAGGAGAACTGGGGAATGGGAAAGAGAACTGGGACTAACTGTATTTTCCCACCTTAAGAAAAGGTACAGCTATGAATTATAGGTAGCTGAAATTTTCAAGCCAGGTTGGGAACGAAAGATTACAAAAGTTGCCAAAAGTAGCTCCAATTTTACTATAAATAATTATAAACTTGGTATCAGCATCTTTACTTTTTCACACACACACACACACACACACATATGCATCCAGACCATTCCAAAAACATTGCTGGTTTTATAGGAATGCTCTCAGCCAGGCAACAAGACTCTCTTATCTACAACCACAAAGTGGCTGTAGATTAAGATTAGTGTTACCTGCAGGGCACTACTGGCGCAGCAGATCTGAAATGCTAATATAGTCTGGAACAGTTATGAAAGTTGTAGCTGACTGGTACCACTAACTATTTTCTTTGACCAGCTTGAAGAGCTCTGTTCTTCACTGCTCCCAAGAATAGATCTACTTCAGAATTGGTGAAGAACTGGCACTAGAGAGAGAGAGCAAGGAGACTTTTTAAAAGTAGGAACCTTGTCTGTTACTTGCGAGTTACACTTAATTGGAGAAAAATCTGATGGGAAAAGTGCTGTGCCACCAATATGGATGTGACATGCTAGAAGTGCTCATTTAAAATTTTGTATCCATATTGTTGAATATGGATACAAAATTTTAAATGAGCACTTCTAGTAATGAGATGTAAGTTAGCTTTAAAAGTTGGATGACAGGATTTCAAAATGTTGATTGTTGAGATGGACAACCCTCCTTTTTCAGGGTTTCAGCCAACCATGATAACTTATTCCATTCTCTCTACTGGTAGAGGATTAGAGAGAATAGAATAACGTGTCTTGGTTCACTGAACCCCTGAAAAAAGGAGAATTTCACTCTACAATATTTTGTTGCAGGTCCCATTTTTAGCAAGCAGTGCATATGTAGACATTTAATGATAGCATGCTATAACCACTGTGCTCAAGGAAGCCAAGGTGTTTACTGTATATACATACAGTACAATTATACCCATGTGTGCAATCATCAGATGCAATCTACCTGCAATTCTTGCACAATGTTTTTGTAGAAATTTTGTGAGTTGAGAAGTAGCCAGTAATTGTACAGTTCTGCACTGATTTATCTGTCAACTTCCTCTATCAAGTGCTTTAAAAAGCAATGGGAAAACATTTTGTTCACATTAGCCTGTTCAAAGGAGATTCTGCCTTCCTTGATTTCTGTTCCTCATGTACATATTGCAGACTGCCTGCTTACATTTAAATGTATTATCCATGGATCCTTGCTCATTCGTGGGTAATGTTAGGATGTTAGCAATCAATGGCCCGGGCAGATGTACCATTGCTGTTTATGGCTACGATTGGCAGAGCTCTTTTTACGTGCACCATTCTTACGGTGCCATCTTGATTTATTATTGTGAATGCTGAATTTCCATATATAGTCTGCTTGATCTGTATACTTCTTTTCTTTCTCTGCATGTATTTTAGCTACCTATCTAGCTATTTAACATTTTACCTATTAATCCAAGCCTTCAGATTTTGAGCTTCATCCTACATCAGCGTTAATTAACCTGGAGATCCTTGCAATGCTCACCCTCCTGCTATCTGTGAAACACATACAATTACATCTTTTAGGCAGTTGTTAACATTTTTCCTTTCTACCCAGGCCTTCCTGTAGAAATGTTTGATATGTAGTTTTGTTATCTTTCATTCTTAAATTGAATTTAAATTTATACTGTGTTTTAATGAATGGCTTATTCATTAAGCCATTATTAAAATTATTGACTGTAAACTGCTTGGCATGGCATGGCAAAGGGAAGTGGTATGTGAATATATTAAATAAATAATAAAAGGCAGTGACGGTTGATGGGGCTTAGTGTTTTCAGGATTAGAAACTGAATCAAGCCTACTGCACCCTCATTGATCAGTAGATCAAAATGACATGTTACCAGTCTCTTTTGTCTCAATTGTCTCTATGCCAGTGTCAAATTAAGAATTCCTTTTTTTACCAGCTACTTGATATGATCCAAAGATGCCATTTACCTTCTGAAATACAGTAGGCCAATAACTTCAGAACTTGAGCACAAAAATTACGTACTTTTTGCTGTGAACCTTCATTTCTTCTGGATGGCAGTTGGGAAATTTTTAACCAGTATTCTTCACAACTCTTGATAAAAATGGCATGTGGCCAGAACAAGAAGCCACTGGGGATTTCCTATTTCCTATTTCTCTCCAGAAACCTCTTTAGAATGATGCCGGCATTATTTCAATGTCATTGTTGAGGGAGAGATTTTTTTTAAAAAGG